TCCTTTTTATGACAATATTATTCCATTGTATAAATTTATAACATTTTGTTTATCTACTCATTTGTTGATGGACATGAGTTGTTTCCGCCTTTTGGCTATTGTGAATAATGTTGCTGTGACTATTTGTGTACATGTATTTGTTTGAGCCCTGTTTTCAATTCTTTGGGGTTATTATACCTAAGAACAGAATTGCAACATCATTTGCTAATTCTTTTTTTAACTTTTTGGGGAACTTTGAGACTATTTTCCACAGTGGCACTTCTTGAGAATTAACTGAAATGTATTTTTTCTTTTTCTCTTTTCTGATGTAGAAATTATATGTTATGTTTTTATTATTTTAGTGGTTACTTAAATTTTTAGTCATAATTTAAGTTGAATCAATCTACCCCCTCAAAAATATGAGATTAATCCATTAACCCATGAATAGACTGATCCATACATGAGGGCAGGGCCCATCTGACCCAATCACCCCTTAAAGACCCCACCTCTGAATATTGCCACATTGGGAATTAAATTTTAATATGAGCTATAGAGGGGACAAATACCCAAATCATAACAGTAAGTGATTAGTATCTTTATTCTCATGAGGGAACTCATAACTAATTTAGCCAAGTATCTAGTACCAAACATAAAGAATGAGCATCTCTTCTTCTCTGTTTTGATGTGAGAGCTGGTGAACTATTTCTAAGAGTGTTGGATGCATAAGCAATAAAGTGTCTTCAAGAATACATGAGAGGCCGGGCGCGGTGGCTCACGCCTGTAATCCTAGCTCTCTGGGAGGCCGAGGCGGGTGGATTGTTTGAGCTCAGGAGTTCAAAACCAGCCTGAGCAAGAGCGAGACCCCGTCTCTACTAAAAATAGAAAGAAATTAATCAGACAACTAAAAATATATAGAAAAAATTAGCCAGGCATGGTGGCGCATGCCTGTAGTCCTAGCTACTCGGGAGGCTGAGGCAGGAGGATCACTTGAGCCCAGGAGTTTGAGGTTGCTGTGAGCCAGGATGACGCCACGGCACTCTAGCCAAGGCAACACAGTGAGACTCTGTCTCAAATAAAAAAAAAAAAAAAAGAATACATGACAGGGCACTTTGGTCGTCTCAGAACCCCTGTACCTAGTCATGTCCCACAGAGAGTAGAGACACTCAGACTCCCCCCATGGTACAGATGAAGGACCTGATGCCACAGAGGGTAAGTGACTTGCTCAAGATCACATAGAGGAGGGGAGAGCAGAGATAAGAACCCAGGTCTTTGAGTGGCTTTTTCCACCAAGACAAGGATTCAGTTATTCAGGAATTGAGTCCTGGTCCCTTGGAGCCCTGAACAGCAGCAGTGCCCTGGCTTTTGCCTCTCTCCGTGGGGCACAAGAGGAGCTGCAGTGGGAGGTGGAGACCTCAGACCGAGCAGGCAAGCTGTGGGTCTGCCCCCTGGCCCCCACGGATTTATTAGTCGCACACTTTGACACGTCTCTGTGTTATCTGCACGATCACACTTTGAAAAAGTGTTTTGAATCTTTTGATTTATCTTTTTGTCATTGTTGTTCATAATAGTTTACACTCAAAGGCAAGAACATGCTTTTAAAATGACCTTTTAAACTTTTTAATGCTTATGCCACAAAGGCACACATGAAAGGAACAATAAGCACATTCTCTATGTGTAGCGTATTTGAAGTGTCCCGTGGTGATGAGATCTATGAAAAACAGGCACAAAGCATCTGAGCTGGGCTCTTGCAGCTGGTGGATGGCCCTCTGTGTGGCTGTCTCATGATTAGGGAAAGAGGCTCAGCTGTACCCTACCCAGTGGCGAAAATCATCCCCACCCTCTCACCATGGCTCGTGGCCACCTGCCTGCCCTCAGGAGCCAAGGGTACAACTTGAGAGGTTTGGACTTTGTGCCGTGGTTTTCAGGAAGCCGTGGAGGTTTCTGAGCAGGGGAACGATGCATGAGAGAGAGGAAAGAGCAGAGTACAGCATTTGAAGCCAGTGGCCTGGGTTTGAGTCCTGGCTCAGGCATTTTTAAATTGTGTGACCTTGTGAAAGTCACCTAGCTTTGGTGAGAGTCACTCTGGCATTCAGCACCCACTTATGGAACACTGGCTAGATGCTGGACACCAGGATACAGAGGAGACCGAGAAAATCTTGCAGTTCTTTCTTCCTCCTTGGTTATCACTCTTACAATAGTATTAGTTTATCATTGCTGCTATACCACAAATTTAGCAGCTTAAAACAACATGAATTTATTACCTCACAGTTCTGGAGGGCTGAAGTCCAAAATCAGTTACACTGGGCTAAAGTCACGGTGTTGACAGGGCTAGTTCTCTTTGGAGGATCCGGGAGAGAATATGTTTCTTTGCCTTTTTCACCTTCTGGTCCCCACCTGTATTCCTTGTCTTGTGGCACCTTCCTCCATCTGCAAAGTGTGTCACTGCAATCTCTGCCTCTGTTACCACATTGCCTTCTCTTCTTCTGTGTCATATTTCCTTTTGTCTCCCTCTTACAATGGCCTGTGCGATTACATTGGTCCTATTTGAATAATGCAGGATAATTTCCCCATCTAAATGTCCCTCACTTAATCCCATTTGAAAAATCCCTTTTGCCATATAAAGTAACATTACAGGTTCCAGGACTTAGGATGTGGATATCTTTGGAGGCCATTATTCAGCCTGCCATACCATGTCATATTGTAATTTACGTCTGGTCTCTTCTGGGCAAGGAGATAGGTTTGCCAGATAGCCCTACACGTGTGCTGGGTGAGTACGTGAGTGCGTAAAGAAATGAATGAATGCATTCTTTGGAGTTGAGAAGAAGATAACACTCTGATTGGGCTTTATAGGATTAATATGAGTTTGCCAAAGGGTATTCCAGATGGAGTGAGCAGCTTATAAAAAGGTGTAGAAGCATGGGCTGAGACATTCAGCATGGAGGAAATGCTGGTGGAGTCTGATGCCCAGGCTGAGATGAGGCTGGGCAGTAGGTGGCCAGGTCATGGGGAGCCTTGCAGGATACCCTGATGGGCCTGGATTTTATTTTTATAAGGAAGCAGCGTATGTGGTATTTATTGCCATTGTCTTTGGAATTTTGGCCTGCGTTTAAATTCCTATGCTGTGTAACCTTAGACAAATTACTGAACCTCTTTGAGACTCAGTGAAATAACTGCTTCATAAAGCTGTTCTGAGAAGCAGGTGACTTTTGAGGCTCACAGAGCACTTAGCACAGTGCCTGAAACAGTCAGAGGAGCCAGAAAGTGTTTATTGTTACTATTGCTGTTAATTTTATAAATGTGATTATTATTGTTGATGGTGATAAGGGGGAACATTTGAAGAATTTCAGCCAAGCAGCAATGTCATGGTCAGACTTGTTTTCTAGAAAGATGACTTTGATAGCCATGTGAACATGTGGGGCCTGAGGGATAGCTCACACTCTGGGGGTCAGGAAACCAATTATGAGGCTTTAAAATAATCTGGGTGAGAGAGGAAGAGGCAGAAAGCAGAGGTGGATTCAGAAGAGACTCAGGGACCCAGGATGTTGGAGAGATGTTTCTGCTTCTGCGGTTCCCTGCTTGAAATTATTCAAGGGTGATATTAGAGGACATCTAGTACCAGTGTCTTGGTCTTTGCTTTTTAGACAGGGACACTGAGACACAGCAAGGGGAAGGTGCCTTGTCTTAGTCTCCAGACGTAACAGTGACAGAAAGGGTTGACAGAGTAGAGCTCAGGTCCTCAGCTTTTTGTTGCAGAGCAGGGGTGAGGAGGTGAAGGTGGGGTGGGAGAAGTAGGGCTAGGAAAGGCTTCTGATGAAAGGGGTGAGGGTCGTGCTCTGACACAGCCCCGACATTGACTGCCCCTTCCATATGCCTCTAACCACCCCTCTATGCCTTCACTCCTCTTTCCAGCTCATTCTTCGCCAAGCCCCCAGAGAATGCCTCTAGAATCTGGTAGTGTTGGGGCCGAGGGATTTTGTGGTTTTGAACTGAGGAAAATGGCTTGACTGAGTAGGGAGGATGTGTGGAGGGGAGGGCTGCCTGGGAGTGGGGGATGGAGCTTTGTGTTCTAGCACTAGCAGAGGAGTCCCGGTGTCCACAGAAGTACGTGCTCACCGGCTTGGGACTGTGTGTCCTCTGCAGTCTTCCATTCACGCCCTTTCATACATCTTTAGGAGGAAACCAATTCAATAGAGCACATCATGGCAAGATTACGATTGTTACTTCAATCATATCTTAGCCTGCAAGGATGTTGGAGGAAAAGATATTTCAATGCCACGTTCAAAAGAGCTGTCATTTTTTAACATAGTAAAAGGGTTTTCAGAGAGTGATGTAATATTGTTATTTTTGATGTATTCTTTTTTAAAAATGATATGACTTTAGTTCAGATCGATGCATGCTGGAGGAAAGAAAAAATCTAAAGGTGCAGATGGCCCATTTTAAGAAAGTTCTGCATGCATGTACCTGAATTTACAAATCAGAATCACAGGGCAATTTTTTCAGGTAACAGAAGGATACAGAGCAGGTTTCTTTAAATACCTTGGTGCATTTCAGAGCTTTCTCATAAATGGCTGTTGATGGCTTGAGAAGACAGCTGGGAGAGAGGAAATAAACAAACGAACAAAAAAACCCATAGAGATGAGATGAAAAAAATTCTGTGCAATGATTATAAGAACTTGATTTATTTTTGTATGTATTTCCTGGCAGCATCTCAGTGACATCAGTGAGACAGGCTTACATTCAGTGTCAAACTACAGAGTTTTCCATCTTGTATTGGCTGGTGTGTGTGGCTCCTCATGAAAACACAGAATTGACAGGCACCTTGGGGCCATTTGGTCCCAACCCCTCTGAAACCTGTGGCCGAGAGAAGAGGAGTGCCCCGTTCAAGGCACACACAGAGAGGCAGGGCCAGAGCTAGAGAAACTTGTCTCCTCAGTGCCCACCCAGTGCTCCTTCCAGTCTTCTCTGCTGTTTGTATTTCTCTGTCATTTTCCTCTGGTACATTGACATTTTCTTTTTTCCAGGAAAAATCAGTTGCTGGCATCTCACAAGGCGGATGGTGAGCTGGGTGCCCTACAGCTTGGTAGGTGAAGTGGATGCCTCTGTGTTGTGCCCGTCAGGGCCCAGGGGGTCCTCGTTGGCTCTGTGTGGGAGGTGGTGGTGGTGGGGGCTCCTTTCCTCCCACCTGGCCTCAGTGAGTAGAGCAGGCTTCTCTCTTTTTTGTTGATATCTTCTTCCACTGTCTGTCTTTCTTTCTTGGAGAAATAAGAAATAAGAAGTCTGGTCATTTCTGGATCCACACTGCAGGGCTGGAGAAGACCTTCCTGCATATGGAGTTTCTTTTAGGCCATCTAGAACCTGTTAAGGTCTCCAAAAGACAGTTCTCAGTCAGAATATTAGTATAGCTCTGCCTGGGAAGGTCCATCCTTTTTAAAAGTTTATCAACGTATTATTGAGGTATAAAATGCAAACAGTGAAGTACATCAAGTCACAAGACCTTAAATGTTCAGCTCTGTGCATTTCCACGTATGTGTTCATCTGTGTAACTAACTGCTCTTCAGGATCGAGATAGAGAACATTTCCTTCTACTCCTTAGTTTTGAAGCAACTTTTCTTTACTCTATTTTTTTGTAATCCTCTACCCCCCAAAGACCGATGTGCTTGCAGGGCTTGGCAAAAGCAGCTGTAGATTGAAGATGTTGAGTCCAGGGATTGGATGCGAAAGGATGCGGCTTAAGTAGTCTTGTCATTTGCACTTCTTCCAGAAGCCAACACTTAACCTGTTGGACCATTTTGGCAGACAAGAGCTGTTCGTATGCTTTTCTTCTCCCTTTGAAGCACCCCCTTTGAAACTAAAGGAAGAAAGCCATGCCCCCTTTAGAAGTTCCATGTGTGATACTCGCAGTCTGACAGTTTGCTTTGATGAAGTTGAAAGAGAGGGACAGGTCTCCAGACAGTGGAGGTGGGGGTTTGTTTACTCTGTATAACTCCTTAGAGGTAATGGATCTTCAGAGTTTTAATCACCAGAATGGCTAGTGGGGATTGTTTGGCCTACGTAGGGGCCAGGAAGCGCTGGCATCCGAAGCCTTTCTGTGTAGCACCAGACTTTGAAATTTTCCAATGAATCCACTTGTATTTGGTCACAAAGCAAAGCAGTCCCCAGCCTTCTGAACCCAGAAAGCTTCTACTGGAAGGAAGACTTTTAGCAATTCTCAGAAGCCAGCTGTTTGAAGTGTGTGTGTCGGGGGGTTGGGTGTGGGTTTGCGCACGTGTGTGCGTATTTTCCAGAAGGAGGCCAATCCCCTCTTTGCTAGTGGCTCAACTAATGATTTAGAAAAGGAGGAGGAGAAGGATAAGGGACCCTGGAATCCAGTCCCTGAGAAAGCTTATGAAAGAGAGAAGAGGAAAGAAAGGTTTTGGGGAGGGGGCAGTGTAGAAACAAGGAATTGAATTCAGTTAGAGGAACAGCACTTCCTTTCCATACCAATTCATTTTACTTTGATTCAATTCAGCAAACTTTTGTTAGCAATTACCTGCTAGAGCATATGCAAGGCTGTGTTGAAAGCAGACCAAGGTGAATCAAAGGTGGCTTAGCCTTTTTGGAGGGCAGGGTTGGGTGGAACAAAGGGAGAAACGTGTCCTCCCACAGCATCCCATGAAGCAGGTGCCCAGCAGTGCTAAACTGCTTCAGGGGATAGATGTGTAAGCCAAGTTCTGTGGTGGGTTCCAGAAGTTTCCATAATGAGTTGGCGTTTAGGCTGGACTTTGAAGGATGAGCAAGGTCTTGCCAAATAGAGATATGGAAGGAACCACTTGAACCTGGAGTGTTCGAGAGAGAGATTGGCTGGAGGTGACTGACCTAAAAAGAAAGTCCTGGGGTCGGCAGGAGATGGGGCCGGGGGCAAGGCTGGGCCAGGGCAAGGGTGATTTTGAGTGCTGTGCTAAAGAGCTGGACTGTAAGTCATTGGGCAGGAAGGAGCCCTGGAAGATTTGGTGCTAGTGAGGAAGATATCCAGGCATGCTTTCGGGGGCCACATCTAGACTTGAGTGTAGGATGGATTTTAGGGGTATGAGCCTGGATGTTGGGAGACAGCTGGTGAGGGGGCTCTTGAAATAGTCCAGAGAAGGGTGATGAGACTCCCATTATCTGGGAAATCCTATGGGTATTTCAGGGTCCTCCTCCAGTGTTGCCTCTAATGGGAAGTGTCCCTGACCCATTATGACCCTCTTCCCTTCTGTTCTTAAAACCCTTGAACTATTTCAGCACTAATTGTGTTATATTACAATTTGTTTGGGGGCTCTGTCTTCCCCACTGGGCAGTGAGCTCCTTGAATGCAGGGGTGGTGCTGTAGTCATCTCGGGACCCCCTCTCTCTCACGTTGTTCCTAGTATATCATGGGTGCTCAATGAAGCACTCGATAAGCAAATAGAAAAATAATGACATATTCTTGTAACAGTGGAGAGAGAAAGGTGGGGGTGGGGGACCAGATATGAGACATTCTGGAGGCAAGATAATCCAGAGGCTGGGGTGGCTTGGCGGGTGGGAGAGGGCTGGGGTTTCAGCCTGAGGCACTGGTTGGGAGGTGAAGGAGAGGTGGAGGAAAGGAGAGCACCACTGGAGGGATGCTGAATTTCTGGTCTTGGGCACTTCTAGAAGATGGCTTGTGGTCAGTGAGAAATACTGCACAGGCTCCTAGAAAAGAGCTATGTGGATCATTCTCCCTATGGAATCCATAGATGAACATGATTTCCCTCGGTATCTTTGACTCTCTCTTGAAATGAAATGCAATTATTAATACTCTGTGCGTGTATTTTTTTTTCTTCTTCCCTCCAAAGGGTACATAAAATGGTATGGGAAACAAAACTCCTTGCTTCTTTTCAACCAGACATTTATACCAGGACCTTAAAAATAGCATTCTGAAACCACTGGCATTTGCTAACAGTTTTGTCTGCGTGACCAACATGTCATTCTGGAGCATTTTGTTTTTCCCTTGCATAGCGGTCGCACCACATCTGGCCCAGAGGCCTGCTTTGTGGTCCTAAACCAACTCCCTACACTGGGATCAGTTCCTCCCTATAGAAGCCAAGGGAGGCTGCCTCCTTCTGGGGGCTCCCACTGGCCTATGCTCCACCTGGGTCTTCTTCCTCTGGGCCCCCAACCTCTGTTCCCAGGCTTACTTCATGGGGCTCAGGCAGAGGATATTTCAGGCTTGGCTTCCTTCCTGACAACCTCAGACTAAACTGAAACCTCCACGTAGGCTTAAATAGTGTCCCTTCTGTGCTCCAGGAAACACTCTGGCCTGAGGCTTTGCAAGGAGCCCTTCAGGGTCCAGTGGAATCACTCAGGTTATTTGCCCCTTTGTTTGGGGCCTCAGGTGCCTAGGTTGGAACTAACCACACATCTTTGTTCTTCCAGAGAACATTCTCAGTATTCATCTTTGCAAAGCCTGCTCATCAGCCTCCCCTCTCCCTCTCTCCTTCTTACCTTTCCTTCCCTATTTCCGTTTAGCACTACCCTCCACACCTCCATGACCTTCTGTCCCCTTAAGCAACCATTCTCTTATGCATAATCTATATCTTTTTCTTGTATATGTTCTTGCTAAATGTGTAGTGTTGTTCTGTGTGCATGTATTTTTACTTGGTGTAAATAGTATTGTGTTATATATCTCATTTGGTTTCTGACTTTCTCTACCCAGCACCATGTTTTTAAGCTCCATTTATGTTGCTGGGAACATCTGGTCTTTATTTCAGGTTATTTGTGTGAAGCCATGGTCACAGGGTAGCTTTTTCAGAGACCCTAACTAGGAAGGATTCTCATTTAAATTCAGATTCTTATTTAAATTCCACACTTTTTTTTCAGGCCAAAGATAACTCTGTCTGCTTTTCAGTGGATTAAATCTCCAGGAGTTTGCCTTGTGCTGTGGCTGGTTCTCCTCTAGGGGAGAAAAGGAGGCTGTAGAATAAGATACAACGTATGTGTCCTGGGAATGTTGGCTTTTGATACTATGCTCCACTCAAATAGGCCCACTCTGGCACGCTCCTCTTGGGAGCCAAACTCATGGAGCCGAGGCCTTAGCTACTCTCTGGAGTCCACTCTGCTCAGATATGCCAGCGCCATTGCCTTGGCATTGTTTTTTCTTGGGTCCTTCACCTGCGTGTTCCGGGGAATGCAGTGGCAGTGGGTGTAGTGGCGAGGGGCCCTCGGCCAGCTGGGAAGTCACAGGCTGGTGCTACCAAAGACTCAAGTGGGACCCTTTCTGGGCCCGGTTGCCCTGTATTAGTCCATTTTGTGTTGCTATGAAAGAAGTAACTGAGGCTGGGTAAGTTATAAAGAAAAGAAGTTTATTTGGCTCACAGTTCTGTAGGCTGCACAAGAAACATCGTGCCAGTGTCTGCTTTTGGTGAGAGTTTCAGGGAGCTTCCTATCAGGGTGAAAGGCAAAGGTGGAACAGGTGTGTCACATGGCAAAAGAGGGAGCAAGAAAGGGAGTAGGTGGGGCCAGGCTCTTTTAAACAACCAGCTCTCTTGTGAACTAATAAAGCGAGAACTCACTCATTATCATGGTGAGGGCACCAAGCCATTTGTGAGGGATTCCCCCGCCATGACCCAAACACCTCCCACCAGGCCCCACCTCCAACACTAGGGACCAAATCTCACATCATGCTCCAACTGTGAGATGACTACATCTGGAATATGGCTTAGTGTTTGTTCTGGAGGTCCAGGGGAGGCAGGATGGAAGAATGTCTAGGAGTTGCCTGAGTTTTTACCCTGTCTTTGCCACTTTTCGTTTGCTTGACTTGGGGCCAGTTACTTAATTCTTCAGCCTCAGTTTTCTCATCTGTAAAGGGGGTAATTATCCCTTCATAAGGCTGTCGAGGGGGTTACATGATAAAATCCAAGTGGTCAATAAATGTAAGCTACAATGGTGATGATATGCTATTATTATTATTTTATCAGGTGTGGTTACATTTTCTTTTCTAATTTGTGTTTGTCCTCTTCATGTTTGTCCTCAGGAGGATGAACTTGCTTATCATGCCCATGTTTTTTGTGAGGAATGTGTCTGAACTAGGCTTTCCTGGGCCTAGCCCAATGGCTTAGGCCCTAGGCACTTGTTTCAATGCATGTCCATGTGTGGAACTTTCTAGTGGGCCAGTAGCTAAGTTCTGCCCAACAGCATCCTTGTGGCACGACCAGAGAGAGATTGTGACAGGAGTAAGGTCTGTCTCTTTCTGCTTTCTTTCCTTCTGGTGAAGGCCTGGGAGCCCCAAAGCAGAGCTGGGATGAATGGTGGAGGAGCTCTCCTTTCACTAAGCCTTCTCCAAAATTATCAATGTCCACGGTGCTCGATCACTTCATAGTCTGTTCTCCGTGAGGCATAATGCAGGAATCACATGTCCATGGTTTTCTTTCAGAGGATGTGGAGGATGAGATGATAAGGGAAGAAGTCATCTTGTGCCCAGTCCCATCAATACTCAAGCTGCAGATAGAGTCAAAGCCAATCGACCTCTTAGTAGCAAAGGTAGGTGTCAACTTAGATGTGTAAGAGACTCCCACGTTCAAAGAGTCTTGATTCAAATTGATGAGGATGATGTGATTTTGATCTTCCTGGCCTGATCCATCTCATCGTAATCTCTTGGTCATTGTTGAAATGGAAATTTGGGTGTGATGCAGAAGAAAACTTGAACCAACAGTGCGGAAAACTGTGTTCCAGTCCTGGCAGCTCCCTTTCCCTCTCCAAGACAAAAGGTGAGGGAGGAGGGTGTACCCTCCCCATGCAAACATTTCAGGACCCAGTTCTTTTACTGGCCCAGAGCCGTTGTACCTCATCCCTAATGGGCATGGCCAGGGTGGCCTCACCTTCCCTGTGGTCAGAGGTTCCTGCGGAATGGAATGTCACTCTTACTGTCCTCCCCTGGCCTTTAACCAGGATCCAGGAGGAAAAATAAAATTCCTGGGGACACAGCTGACCTCCTCTTCCACCTTTTGCATATTTACTCTGCACACTGATCAAAAAGTAAAAGATTTTTGTAGAGATTTTTGTCCTTTCTCTCCCTTCTCCCTCCCCTCGCTTCTTCTCCCTTATCTCCCCTCCCCTCTCTTTCTCCTCCCTCTTTTGAAGCCACAGAGGATCACACACGTTTAAGTGGCCCCAAACCTGGTAGTAGGTGCTCTAGCCTTCCATAGCCACAGGGCCATGATGGCCAGAGCACTCCCATTTGGGGAAGGGCCCTTAGAGGCTCCTCAAGACCACCCAGCAGTAGCATCTCCAAAAGCAGCTGGAAAAAGTGAGGCCCACAGAGGGAGAATGAAAGCCCTGGGCCCTTGGCCTCGAGGGCAAGTGGAGTCCAGGTTTCCAGGCTCTGTCAACCATACTGTCCCTGGCTGGGAGCTGTCATTCTGTAGGTAAGAGAATGGAGATGCGGTTCAGCCAGAAAACCCAAGTCTACAGTTCCTAGGCTCTCAGGAAATTCAGTTCAAACACACAGATGATTATAGTTGGCACAAGAAGGGAACCAGGCCTTGACAGATGAATGCGTGCATCCTCTCTCTTGTGTGCCACCAGCCCACATTTGATGGCACATGGACAATGCTTCTGTCACAGAGATTTTCCTTACACTTAATAAAAGGAAAAAAAAGAACTGATTCTAGTGGAAAATAATCTGAGTCTCTAGGAAAGGTCTGACCCAGCGAGGGGGTGCAAGGAGGTGACTACAGAATCTGCCTCTTGGTCTTGGGGCTCACTCGAGTCTTCAGAGACCCCCTCAGATGTAAAACCATGGCAGACAGAGAGGGCAGGCCCTCCAGGAGGAGCTAGCAGGAGAGGCTCTGCCTTCCCACTGAGGGCCTGTCAGTGGGGAAGGGATTGACCATTTCTGGGGCTCTGTGGGTGGTGCTTAGGTTAATGGGAGACAAACAGCTTGTTATGAGCTAGAAATCTGGAGAAGACAAAGCTGTAAAAAAATGGAGGAGCTTCCTTGGCAGGCAGTGCGAACCCCTTCTTGGGTGGTTGGGGTGCTCAAGCAAAGTTCGTGGGGTGTCATAGAGGGGATTCTTACATGTGGTAAAGGGTTGTACTAGAGCAGGAGTCAGCGTGCTTTTTCTATGAAGAGCTAGATAGTATGTTTTTGGCTTCACTGACCATGCAATCTTTGCTGCAGTGCTTCAGCTCTGCCCTTGTGGTTTAAAAGCAGCCATAGACAATATGTAAACAAATGGGCATTGCTGTATGCCAATAAAACTTTATTTACAAAACAAGTGGGGGGAGTGGATTTGGCCTGTGAATCATAGTTTGCTAACCCTGTACTAGAGCAGTGGTTCTCAACCCTGGCTGCATAGTGGAATCACCTGGGGGTGGTATAAAACTATTGATACTGGACACTCACCCCCTGCAATTCAGATTTAATTGGCCTGGCATGTTGCCTGAGCATCAGGATGATTTTAAAGGGCTTCCTAGGCGATTCTAATGTGAGGTCAGGTTTGAAAACCTCTAGTCTTTCCTGTGCAGGATCAGAGGATCTCCAAGATCCTTTGCAAAACTAAAATTTTGTGTTTCAAGGTCTCTGTAAGGAGCCTACAAAGATTTTGGCTCATGTCAGCACAGGCTGGTTTGGTTTAAAGATATTCCATAGGTAATATCCTCAGGGTTGAGTTTCTGTTTCCTCAAATATGAGAAGAATGGGCTTGCAAAATGAAAAGAGATAACCCTATTAGAAAACGGACGGCGCTGCTAGAATTCAAGACCAACTCCTGTGGGAATATTCACACTGAGCATTGTATTGTTGTTTGCTTTTAAAACAACCAATGGAATTCCCTCTTCTTTTCATAGGAAATAAAGACCCTTCTCTTCGGTTCCAGCTTTTGCTGTTTCAATGAAGAATGGAAACTTCAGAGTTTTTCCTTTAGTAACACAGCCTCGTTAAAGTACGGCATTGTGCAGAAGAAGGCAGGTTGCTCTTAAGTTTCCCAGGGCCCTTTCTGCCAGGCATCTCATGTAGTGGTGAGGGTGCCTCCCAGTTTGGTCAATCCTTTGGGCATTAGCTGGGCTATCCTGGGCTAGCCAACCCCATATATGCTGAGTTGTCACTGGGCACAGCCACACTTCTTGTGTGGCCCATGGAGCGAGAGCTGGGAAACAAGACCCTCTGCTTTGGAGATGTACATAATGCACATGGATTTGAGGAGCACTTTCTGTGAGTGGTGCACGATGCTGGGATGTTTAGAGAGAGGGGGCAGGAGGAGGCCCTGAGTCTGGTTGGGGGCATTGGAGGGGCCTTCTTAGGCCGAGCATCAAGAAATGCACAGGATTTTTCAGGTAGAGCTGGAGAAGGGGCACTCCAGATAGGTGGCAGCATGAATGAAGGGGAGGCTGTATGAAAGTCTAGGGACTACGGGAAAAAGCAAAAAGATCAAGTATGTGGAGCAGGTGCTTGAAGAGGAGGCTGTGATAGAAGCTGGGCAAATGTAGGTTGATGGTGGCAGGCTTCGAATGTGGCTTGCACACATTTCCCAAGTTATACTCCTTAAGGGCCAGGAGATATATTAAACGCAGGATCAAAGAATCAGCAAATGAACAGGGCAGCTCAGCCAGGTTCCATTTCTCAAGTCCCAGGAGGCTTCCGACCCCACGCTACCTGAGGAAGAGCCCTAAGACCACCAGTTTCTGACTGTCCCTCGTGTAGCCAAGCTCAGCCCATCTTCTTGCACCCCCACCTCCTTCTCTGATGGTCCTTGAACCTGGATGGGCACTGTTAGTGCTGTTTTGTCCCACTGGCCTTTGCTGATGTGTCTTGGGGCCTGGCCCTGCGCTAGGCCTTATGATGCTTGCAGGGGTGGGCTCCTCAGGGAGCCTTTACACTGCAGGGTGGGAGGGAGAGAGACATGCCTAGCGGGGTGCTGAGGCAGGCCACAAGCTGGGCATAAGAGAGCTCACATAAGTGTAGGCTGCCGAAAGACTAACTGGCAGCTGAGATGGGCAGGGAAACTTCCTGGAGGAGGAGGCCTTTAGGATGGGTCTGAAAGGCTGAGTAGACAATTAATACCCTCAGCCTGTGGACATAGAAACGTTTCCCTAGATGCAGGGAAACCTATGGTGATGTCCTGAGCTTCACACCTGACTCGTCCTGAAGGGTCAATTTCCTCCCAACACACATTGAAGATCGGCCCCCTTTTTTTTTTTTTGAGACAGAGTCTCACTGTGTTGCCCGGGCTAGAGTGCTGTGGCGTCAGCCTAGCTCACAGCAACCTCGAACTCCTGGGCTCAAGAGATCCTACTGCCTCAGCCTCCCGAGTAGCTGGGACTACAGGCATGCGCCACCATGCCCGGCTAATTTTTTCTGTATATTTTTAGTTGTCCAATTAATTTCGTTCTATTTTAGTAGAGACGGGGTCTCGCTCTTGCTCAGGCTGGTTTCGAACTTCTGAGCTCAAACAATCTGCCTGCCTCAGCCTCCCAGAGAGCTAGGATTACAGGCGTGAGCCACCGCGCCCGGCCCAGATCGGCCCCTTTTTTTAGGGTAGGCACTGGGGCCTTGTCACCCCCTCTCTGTGACTCTGGGTCAGCGCGTTATGGAAGCAATTGTTATGTCAAAGACAACATGAGGGCCATGCCATACAGCAGGAGCCTCGTGATCTGTAACCTGTGGGCAGGGGTTCCTGGGCCAGTTCTCACTGGCAGTAACACATACCATTCTTTGCAGGGTGGTCCCTGTGGGGTCCTGGCAGCTGTCCAAGGCTGCGTCCTACAAAAACTCCTGTTTGAAGGAGATAGCAGAGCCAACTGTGCTCGGTAAGTCAGTGCTCCTTCTGGCAATATCTTCTTTTCCCAGGGCTTCTCCATAGCGTCCAGAAAAAACAAGGAAGTGTGTGTGTTCCCTGATATTTCCTGTCTTCTGCAGGTCAAGAAAGGAAAGGGTGATGGCAGCTGGTCAGGGCTTGTGCTGACCAGTGTTAAATGGACTTGTGTACACTTGTTTCCAAAAGCAGGGAGGGCTGGTCATTGGTGCTCCATGTGGTAAGGGGCTGCTGGAATGGTATTGAATCCAAGTCCATCCCATCAGAAGGCAAGCTGCCCGAATCCCTTCCACCCCTGTGTCAACCTGCTGACCCTTTGACTAAGTGCAGGCCTCCACCCCCTCCCCACACTGTCTTCCTCTCTGCCAACAGCCGTGACTAACGTTCCAGGCAGCCTCACAGCACACTGCTTCCACTCCTTGCAGCCATTCATTTTCACGCTGTGTTTGCACTTGGGCGCCTCGTTCTCATTCTCATTCATTCAGTACACATTCCTGGAACCTCTTTGTGCAGGCACAAGTGACACAGGGAAAAATAAGATGCATGTTTTCTCCAGAAATGCTCTGTGAGGTTGAGAGACAGAGAACCATAATCCTACACCATAGTTGGTGCCACGATGAAAGGCTTGGCAAGGTGCTGGCCGGGACTGCAGGCCGGCAAGGCCTCCCTGAGGAGGCAGCCTGCTTCCCTTCCCTGCCCAAGTGCCTGGTTACCAGCTTGTGCTGGTCACCCTTGGAGCTGCAAACTTCAGGCACTTGGTCGTTTTTTTTTTTTTACACTTTTAGTTGAAATATAACATACATACACAACAGTGCACAACTCATATGTGTTCCACTTAATGATCACAAAACCACCATGAACTTAGGTTCATCACAGCCATGAACTTATTACCTAGATCAAGAAAGAAAATGTTTCAGTACTCCAGAAGAATCCTCCTGCTCCTGCCTGGTAGGTACCCCCATTCTTCTCCCTAAAGTTGTATTAATAATTAAATGGATTTTAAAACCATAGCTTAATTTTGCCAGTCCCTGAACTATATTGAAAGGTATTTATTCTTTGTCATAAGCATTTCAGAGCCTTTTAAAAAAAAAGCCTATGTGCTACCAAGACAACAAGGCCCCTTCCCCACGTGTTCATGTTCAGACTTCAGGGAGAGACAGTATTCGCTAGGAGAACGTCTAGCCAAGCTCAGTACACAAATGAAGCACATTCACCAGCATAGACGATTTTGCTTTAGACAAGGGCCAAGTGAAGGTAGCTTCTCCTGTGTGGCGTCTTACAATTTTTCTAATGGTTTTACCCAATAATAATCAAATTATTTCCTCTCAAACCACAGATGTTAACCATAAACATAGCAACATAACATTTCCACAGCAAGATCTCACTCACCTTGTCCTTATTCTTTTCTTTGCCCCCCTCCTCTTCACACCTGGGTCTACCCATAGTCCTCTTGTCTGAGCAGGGTTGTTCCCTACTGCCTGCTCTCCAAGTTCTGCCTAGCAACGTGCTAGGAGGCTTGAGTTTAACGTTGTGGCAGAGACCCTGCCATCGGCTCTCCCTAGTAGGATCAACATAGTCCTCTGTGCTCAGGAACACTCCTGACTGGGTAGAACTTGCTAAGAGGGAGACCTCTGGCTGTCCTCAGAGGGTGCAGGGATTCTGAGCACATATGGACCGCCTGCCTATGTTCCTCCCTTGCATTGAACAAAAGCATGCAGAGCATACTGACCAGGTTCTTAGTGGGATATGGGGCTGAATAAGATGGATACAGCCTTGCCCTCATGGCACCAATGGTTGAACAGGAGAACATATGGACGGGCAGTTATAAGGGGCATGCAGGATGCTAAGAGTTCACTGGGACGCAAAAGCGTCAGGGCAGGCTTTCTGGAGGGGTGACATTTAAATCTTACTGAGATCTGAAGGATGATCAGAACCCCTGATCCCCTTCATGCACATTCTTGCACACTCCTGTTCCCCACTTTCTAGCAAATATCCTTGAACTCCTTCCTGGGCCCACAGGCCTGTGTGCTCGGGCACTCTGACGCTGGCTCCTCCCACTGCTCAGAGGCCATGTCTTCATGGAGGCCCTTCACTGACCTCCCCAGTTAAGATAAACCCAGGCCCTACCTCTAATAATTCCACTCCCAATTGGTGCTCTTGTTCATTGGTGTCGCTACCTGTCCATGTCTTCCCCCAGCCCCCAGAGCACAAGGCCCATGAGAATGGGGCCTGCTTGGGCTGTCTGGTTTACAGCTGGGTCTCTGGCATCCAGCCCAGTGCCTAGTCCGCAGAAGAGGCCCTTAGAATTTTTGTTGAATGAACGCATGGACAAATGAATGAGTTATCCAGACAAACAGGGAGGGGAGGCGGAATGGTATTCCAGTAAAGAGAACAAGATGTGCAAAGGCCTGAGGGCAGGGAGAGGAGTGAAGGGTTGCCTGGGGTGGCCAGGGCAGTGTTTGGAGGGGCAGGGTGAGACCTGGGGCGGTAGATGGGTCAGGGCCAGGCTGCCAGAGGGGCCTTGGGCACTGCCAGATTCTCGAGTCGAGTCTCGGCCTTGGCCCTTGTGGGAGATGAGGTGTCTCCTAACCCGTTTCAGTCCAATGTCCCTTTAGAGTTGCTGTTCAACTCCAGTTTTGGACTTCTGGGGGAAGTTGTGGATGATTTCCCAACTGTCAGGAGGAAGTTTTTCAGTTGCTTCCAGGAAGGGCTGATTCTGCTCAGGCCACAAGGCAGGCTTGGTTCCTTGTCACCCACCCCACCCCACTAAGGGGATGTGAGAGCTTTTGTATGCCCCAGGCCACACCCTAGTGGGCAGAGTTCTGTTCTCCATGCCAGAGAGGAGAGCCAGGGCTTGGAAGGCAGAAAGCCATCCAGATTGAGATCCCAGGGCGGGCTCTGGTTGAAAGAAAACTGTGCCAGGCCATGGGGAATAAGGTTCTCCACCTCCCGTTGTCAGCCAGGCAGGCTCCTGCCAAGGGTAGACTGAGGCCCTCATTTATATTGACAGGTATCTGTTCAAGCACCTATTAGTTTTGCCAGGGCTCTGCTGGGGGGAAAGGGGAAAGAGGAAATGCAACCTTGGCCCTCGGTGGTGCCCTGTCTGCTAGGACCCTGAGAGAGGAGTTGGGCTAGCCTGGATGGAAGTCTCTCAGCGGCCAGGTCTGTGTGTGTCTGCAGGCCATGGATGGTGGGGCTGGGCCGTGAGTGTGGGAGCAGGAGAGAAGCAGCTGCTGGCCTGCTGGGGGTTATGTTATGTGCAAGGGTGTGCCTGGTGGGTGGAGCTCGACTGCAGGGGAGGCTGCCTGGCTGGACCAAAGGAGGTCTGTGCCATGGCCAGGAGAGCTCAGCCTGCTGCCTTCTCCAGGGAGCCTGGAAGGATTCATGGTGTAGGAGAGTGACCTCCCCTTTCTTTGGAGCCCTGCAACTCTGGGCGCTGCTTGTAATTGCCCCCTCTTGCTCCTCTACCCTCTGCTGCCCCCAGCACAAGGGTGCTGTGCCATGCGGGTGGAGCATAGCAGGCTGGCTTTCTGCTCCCGCAGACCTCATGGCAGGCCTGAGAAGCCCGTTATTCACACCCAACTGGGAGGGAGGAGTGGAGAGCTGGGCTCGGTCACCAGGGCTCTCTGAAAAAACCTGAGGGGACTTAGGAAGAGGTGTCTCAGCGTGACAAGCTGAGGAGGTCCCAGAGACCCTCTCCCCTGACCCCAGCGAGGACTCCCCTCCTCCTGGTAGTAGTGTACCATGGGCAACAGGCACCAGATGCCCTCCCCACCCTTCCCATCCTGAGTTCCATCCTCCCACTCCCTGAACCTGCCTCAGGGGCTGTAGGTAGATAGGGAGTGGGAAGGGAGAACCCTCCCAGGGACAGGTGAGGACTTGGGTCAAGCAAAGACCAGGGGAGCGAGGGGCCTGTGCTTGAGGCCAGGAGAAGAGAAGGGAGGTGGAGTGTGTGTTGCTGCTGTGCTGAGGCCCTACAAGTCAGAGGCCACAGAAAGTCCTCCTTGCCAAGTGGGTGGGTCTAGCCTGTAGGTATTGATGCCCAGGTGGGAGGGGGTGGTGGAGGGTGCTGAGGAGAGCACTGGACCGGGTTGGGACCTGGAGTACACTCCTGGGGGAGCAGGACCTCACTTTCTTCATCTGTGAATTAGGAATAGTAATCTCTGGCCTGCCTAAATTGGACTCGGTAAGAAAGTATGAAGTCCTTTGTAACTATATTCAAGGGCTGTGCAAGAAAATAGGACCATCGAACTCAGCCTGTGATGGTACAGATGGGGAAACTGAGGCCCAGAGAGGGGAAGATGCTTGCTCAGGGTCACACCTGGCAGGGTTGAGACTGTCACATGATGTCTGTCTGTCACACCAATGCTGCTGTGCCCTGCAAGAGACAGGGAGCAACAGGGGTCGTGGGAGGCCAGAGGGGCCACTGCAAGGAAGGCTGAGGGCCATGAGTTTTAGACATTCCATCGCTGGACACCCATTCAGACTCTAGTGACCAAGGGGGGACTCTGTTCATGAAGCGCTTCTCAGCAGCACCTCCCTTTTGCCCTACTTTAGAAAAAAACCAGTGCAGAAGAGTATGGCGAGTAACATAGCAAACACCTGGGGAGCCCCTGCCTCACGTTGGCCGAGGGAAACACTTGGTCGTTTCAGGAACCACCCTCAGTCCCCAGCTCCTCTGGTTCCATTGACTTATTTATACATTTTGTATATCGATTGACTGGGTTATTGATGTTCCTGTACTGGCTGTCTATGCTTGGTTGGGTGTGAGGCTTTAGCATTGCCTTTTGACTCTGAAATTCCAGGACTTCGTAAATGATCCAGCTTTAAAAAAACCAAGGCGAGCGCCTCTGTTCTCTTGAGGAACACCACATGCCATGCATCTGCAGCCGGCGAGCTCTAGGCCCCCGGAAAGCTCAGGACCTGTGTGCTCTGAGCCCTGTGCTTTCCTCCTTCCCCCCATGCTGGGTCTGTAGGCCTGGGCCCTGGAGGCCCCCTCCTCAAACTCTTCCCCACAACTGATGGGGAAATAGTTCTGTGAAAGCAGAATGGAGGATGGGCTCGCATCCTCCAGGGAAGTCATGCTGAAATAAAGGCTTCTTGGCAGCGGCAGTGTTTTTTCTGCAGGACTGTCTGGCTTCATTAAGACTCATTCCATCAGGCCAGCAGCCGGCCTCTCCTCAGTCGGGAAGGACAGAGCTAGGTGGCAGGACTCGGTGTTTTTCCACTTGAGAAGGGAAGAGATGATGAGTTCTTATTCATCCTCAAGGACTGGAGAGAGCCATGGACCAGGAGGGGCCCACAGAGGCTGGTGCAGATCTGAGAGTCGGGGATGTAGGGAAGTCCTCATCAAATTTTCACTTTCCTTCTGGAATTAGGCGATTCGAGGCCAGAGGAGGAGGGGCCCTTGCCCAGAGCCCCTGTGAACAGTGGTAGCAGAACCAGGCTTGGCATCCAGGTCCTGTGGCCCCAGACCAGCCTTCTTCCCACCCCCTCCCACAGCTTTTGAGAAGGAGCAGAAGGGGTGTTGTAACCCGCCTCTGCTCATTGCCAGCTCCTCCCTGAACTGTCTGTAGACTCAATTCAAGTGGGCACATCAGAGTGAATAGGTGAGGCTATTTTGAGATAATTAGGGTAGAAACACCTCTTTAATCTGAAACATTTGGATAATTTAGGCAAAAGCAGCATGTGTTACTCCCCAAGATAATTTATTCCCCCATCCCTAGATAAATGTCTTTATTCTGAACTTCTCCTATGAAGAATTTGACTCTTTTTTTTTTTTTTTGAGACAGAGTCTCACTCTATTACCAGGCAGTGGTACCATCATAGCTCACTGTAGCCTCAAACTCCTGGGCTCAAGTGATTCTCCTGGCTCAGCCTCCCGAATTGCTGGGACTACTGGTGCACACTACCATGCCTGCCTAACTTTTTTGTTTTTTGTAGAAACAGGGCCTCACCATGTTGCCCAGGCTGGTCTTTAACTCCTGGCCTTAAGAGATCCTCCCACCTTGGCCTCCCAAGCTTCTGGGATTACAGGTGTGAGCCACCACACCTGGCCTGGAATTTGACTCTTAAAGAAACTTCTCTTGGTTTAAGAGTCTGGCCAGGTGCCAGCCTCCTGGGAGGAGTTTGACAGACATGTGTCTGACTGATCAGGCAGTGCAGGACCTGATTGTCATCGGGGTTCCGCTTGTGAAGGCAGGCACTGAGCCCTCTGGTGAAGGTCAAGTCTAGGTGACTCAGGCACAACAGCGCTTTCCTCTGTTGTCATCTCGGGGCTCTTGAGCAGCCACACAGCCCTGTCTACACTGGGGCAAGTTAATGACAGAATGCCAAGGCCAGAATGATGCTTAGGGAGCATCTGACCCAGTGCCCGCATTTGTAGGTATGCGGGGAAGTGAAGGCCAGGGAGGGCAGGAGCTCCCCCAAAGCCTGTGAGCCAGGAATGCAGCCCAGGCCTCTTAGTTGTCTGGCCATTGCACTTTCCCATCTCTGCTGTGTTTTCTGGAAAGCTGTGTCTCAAAAGAGAAAGATGGAGAAGGCCCAGGGAAGGATGGAGAGACTGGCAGAGTTACTAACCAGAAGCCAATTGAAAGAGCGAGGCCTTATGCACAGAGGACATGGAGGTTTAGAGGGGCTGTAAGCAGAGCCTGTGAGATGGGGGAGCCAGGTCAGGCCTGGGAGCAAGATGTCTCGATTGTGTTGCACAGTGCTGAAAAGACAGGATCGAAGGAAAGGGGATGTTAGTTCCTAAAACCAGTGCCCAAGACAATTGGTTCTACTTCCCCAAGCTCTCCCTCCTTCCTCAATGTTTATTTTTTCCAATTTTTACTAACTATATATATTAGCTTTTGAAATCTTATTTGTTACTATACTGAGCAGCTTCCAACTGGGAGGATTATCTGCTTCAGTAAGTTAGTGTGGAACACAGTGTTTGAAAGTTGTCTCCTTAATTGCAAATACAGAGCTTTTCCAGCATAAGTGTTTTGGGCAGGGAATACAACCCAGGCATAATTTTGCACAGGTCCTACCCATGTTAAGGGTTTAGCTAGGGAGCACTGGTCATACTTGTGGTGTAGGAAGACCCTCCTAAGCCCCTGCTCCCCGCTACCCTGTGAGTATGTGCAGTGGAGATTGGAGAGGGGGTGAGCAGCAGCAGAAATGGTAGCGGGACACTGGCTGAGGCCGCTAAGCTGAGGGCAGGACATCCCAAGCCAGGACAGGGGCAGGGGAGGAGGGGTGGGAGGTACTCAGGATGTACGAGTGGCAGGACGTGGCCCTCATTTGGACGAGGGCAGGGCATGAAACAGGAGCCGTGTGGGGTGATGGAGTCCACATCTGTGGGTTCTGAATCCAAAGAGATAAGCGTCCAGTCTTTTCTCCTTTATCTGACAAGGTCTGCTTTCCAGACCCCCCCAGTCCTTGATGTGGCCTCTCTTGAAACCTAGAGCAATGTTTTCTCACCGTTGTTTTCATAGTGAATGGTGACCTGGGCCAGTGCTCCCAACAGCTCGGGCGTCCGGTTTGGTGATAGCATGGTTAACTATTTCCTCCGAGGAACACGATGGTCTTCCTGAGACTAAAGAAGTATCAGGCAGTCTACTGTTTTATTTTCTTAAGTGCTTGAGTGCATGTTGCTTGTCTCATTGCATTTGAAGGATTTCCAGTGTCAGGGACTTAGTATCACTTTCTTATCAGATGTTGGGAATTCATTTCCCCATTGTGATGGCCCAAGTGAGGACTTGATGTTTTCATAAAGACAATAGTGATTGGTACCATTGAACGTTTCACCGTGTGCCAGGCACTGGGCCATGGACCTTACAAACATCCTCTCATTTAAAGCCATGAGGGAGGTGCAGTTGTCATTGCCAGTTTACAGATGGGGAAACTGAGGGACTGCAGTGTTTATTGCCTCTCATCTTAAAGTCTTTGGACCACAACAGCCTGGCGTAGATTGCTGGCTCTGTGTCCCAGGCCCTGGGCAGTGACCACATGTCGCCCAGCACGGTGGGCTATGCCCTGGTCTCCTGGTTTCCCTTCTGCCCTGGAGAGGAGGGACATAGCTCAGTATGGGGCTCAGGTATTATTCGGTGATTGAAAGATTGAAAACATGGAACCCCCTCCTCTGTATTCCTTTGAGCCCCACAGGGTTTTCATTAAGACCTTTTTTTATTAGGAAGAGAGATTCACTCAAGCTAGCTTTTATATGAATTTTTAAAAAATTCACAGGATCTCGGGGCAGGCAAGAAATAGGGCCCTAAGGAGCCCTGGAAATGTGAAATGGGAAGAAATGTCTGTATCTGGCTATTTCCCTCTGCCTTCTTGTTCATTTTATGCACGAGGCACCTCTATGTTACCATTTTTATTGTAAGAGAGCTGCCCGTCGTTTTCAATACTGCTCACTGCCTGACCACCTTAAACCCTTTGCTCCCAAGACTGCATCATGGCACTCTGTCCTCACTCTGCCCCTGCCTCTTTGACCCTCCTCCCCCTTCTCCTGACACCTCAGAGTTCCACAGGGTTCCATCCTTGGCAGCTACCTCTGCCCTTCCTCTTCCTCCCTCTGGGAAATCTGTACCCAGCCCCAACTCCTGTGCTGGGCTTTACGTGTCCAACAGCTTTACCTGGGGATCTGCATGCACCTCAAGCTCAGTAAGTCTGAAGTACAGCTCATCATCTGCCACCACTAGCCATCTCCCCCTACCCACATACTCCTTACGTCAGTCGGTGGCTCCACTGCGTGCCCACTAAAAACACGGAGGTTGTCATTGAATCCTTCCTATCCCTCCTCCCCACGCCCTGGATCTAAGTATTCCACAAGTCCGGCTGTTGACCTGTCAGCACCTGGGAGTGAAGAGCCTGTACAAGTTGGTGTCTCCAGAGGCCCAGATACGGGCATGGCCACAGCCATGGCAAGGCAGTGCCCTGCAATTGCCTGAGATGGCAGCCTTCCGAGCATGCCTGGGTTGGGCCTATCCCAACTCACCGTCCTTTCTTACACATACTGCTGGGCCCACCAAGCCTCTGGGGCCCCTTTACTCCTGTGGGCACTTTCCTTAGCTTCCTCCTCCTCCTCCAACCCTGCCTGGGGCCCTCCCTGCAGGCTCCTCCCTCAGCCCTCAGCTGCAGAGCCCCTCCTCCCCAGGCTCTGCCTTGGAGTGCCTGGACTGCAAGTGGCCCCTTCACAGGGCTGGAGGGTCTCAGCCTTGTGTCCCCATGAGCCTAAAAGCATTCACTTTCTTGTCCTCAGGGGGATGCAGCCTTCAGATGCCCACAGGACCCGCTGCCTCACCCTGGCCATCGCGGACATTGTGTGGCGGGCTGGGGGCCAAGAGAGAGCTGTGGTCACACTGTAAGTTGTTCTGAGGGCTGTGTCGCTACTGCTCAACCTCTGTTGGCATAGCGGCAGGCAAGCTGGCTGTGTGTGTTTCTGTCTTGGGGCCTAAGGACCATATCTGCATGCCCTCCAGTACCCAGCCCTGTGCCACATGCTGGGATGAGCCCAAGAGTCAGCCTGATGTGCTGGGCAGCCCTGGATTGGGGGAGGGGCCCAGGCCCTCCACATGGCTGTGATGACCTCCCTGGGCTCCAGTTCTCATCTTGGAAGGGAGTCATGTTTGCCTGCCTTCCTCCTGGGGCACCCTGGGTAACCCCTCTGAGAAAACCTCTGACCCTCGCAGCCAGGTCCCCTCTATATTTCTCTGATCTGGAGGCCTCGAAAAATAGCCCTCAGGTTGAGCCAGTAGTGAGTGACTCCACCGTACTGCTCTTCCCAGTCCCCAGAGCATGCTCCCGTTTGCTCTGTCCCTTGGTCCCCATGCTATAGAGCAGGAGACTCCGAGAGGTGAGCTGGAGCCTGGGGCCTGGACTCCATCGCTCCCGACCAGCGAGGTCTCTCCCTGCTGCCTCTGTGCGACTCCACATAACCCACATGGGTGGTGCGCTGGCTTTCCGCCTGACGTGTCAGAGTGGGGGCATCACTTTGTCCCAGCTGTGGCTAAGCGTTAGTAAAGGGGGTAACTTTTGGGGCCAAGGCCCACACTTTGGAGGGTACATTGGTCACCATAGTGTAGTGTTTAAGGGAAGGGACCCTTAGAGGCAGACTCTCAACACTGTTGCTTATTGGCTGTGTGACCTTGAGCAATTGACTTAACCTCTCTGTGCTTCATCTGTTTACTCATCTGGAAAATGGGGATGACAATAATGATAACTTAATAGGGTGGTTATAAGAAATAAATGAGTCAATATAAAGAAATGATATGTGATAAATGTAATATCAGTTTAAATCATTTTATCAATATAAATAGATGATAATAATAAATGTGCTTGCTTAGGACAATATCTGGCATATATTTAATACTAACCCTGGCTCTTAGGATCTGCAGGGCAGCCCTGAGAGCAGATGAGGCAGGAATTCAGTTTCTCCCTGTCTTATATATTAGGAAGCAGAAGCCCAGAGAGGGAGAGAGACAGTGTCTGGTCCAAGGCTACACAGCAGCTAATGGCACAGTGGGCCCCAAACCCAAACCCTCCTCCTAGTCCCTGCTGCATTGGGCTGCGTACCCACTGGGCTCTGTGTCAAAGATGCTGATGGCATAGCGGTAGGGAGTCTCAGGACACGGGCCCAAGTTCCTCAAGTCAATGAAAATGACAGGCAAGGCGGCATTCCTCAGTCTGGAAATAAATTTGCCATTTGTGGGTTGGAGTCAGGGCTTGGGTTTGGTTATTCCAAGCTCTCCCTCTGCTGTCTTTTCCTTACTTTTCTTTTTCCTCCCCTGCTAGCAGAGTTCTCTTAGCGGGTGAGTTCAAAGTGGGGAAAAATGAGAAACCCTTGGCTCCGTTCTTTGCTCTGGAGCCACTTTCTTATTTGTCCTCATTTAATGACACATGTGGTTTCACCGTGGCTGGAGGGCACATCTTCTCTCTATGTGCAGGACTCATACACCTTCCTTTCCTTTTTAGGGCTTCAGGAACACAGCAGTTCAGTCCAACAGGGAAATACAAAGCAGATGGAGTCTTAGAAACAGTACGGCTTTCTGGAAAATTATCACGCAACCTTTGGCTTTGTTTGGGGACTGTCTCCTTTCATATAAGTAAATCCTTCCCTAGCTGGGGATGGGCTGGCTCTCCCTACAGCCCAGGCCCACAGAATCCTTGCCCTGGGACGGGGGTGGGGGCAGACGTGGGGTGGGTTTGGGATGGGCTCTTGCCAGAGCTGGCTTTATATAAGGCCAAAATGCCAACTGGCTCCCTGTCACCTGCGGGTGCAGAGCTGCAGTTCCACCAGCAGTCTGTACATCATGCCTCTGGGCTAGGCCCCAGCCTCCTCTCTGTCCTCCTTCATATTTCTTTAGCATCTTCTCTAGGATTGTCGTGGGAGGATGTTGGGATGGGGGCGGGATGGAGAGGGAGAAGAAGTTAGAAAGTGGGGGGGATCTTGATAGCATGGAGCACCAGCCATAAAACCAGACCCAAGTAATACAAAGTGAAGGGAAAAATGAGAGACATACACTTTTGTATTTTTGAAAATATGAAAACAGTGAAGTTTTTCAGCCACCTCTTGCCACCTCTTCACTGAGAATTTTTGCTTTAATTAATTAGTTTCATTTGACCTATGTTTAGGCACGTGTAGCCCTGTGGCCCTGTGACCTTAATTAAGGGTCTCACGTTGTTGAATGTTTTTCTAAAAGTGTTTTTTCCTGGCCTGCCTGAGAAAGCAAAGGAGACTCATAACTGCTGCTTCCCATTGGGCTCAGGATACGGCCTGTTGGGCTTTGACCTGGCCTGGCTGTTGTGATTTGGATGTGGCAGCCGCCCGACATGCCCTGACCCCCAGCCTCTTTTCAGATGTCAACGACTAGCCCATAGGGGTGCAGCCCTCCCCTGTTGGGCCAATGCCTGATGCTGGATCCTTTGCTTTAGTCCCATGATGTCTGGAATCCTGAGGTCTCTCAAGGTAGGCCCAGGGCTGCTGCAGGGCAGACTTACCCTAGAGACCCCAGCTGGGCTGGGCCAGCCTTTCAATTGCACACAGATGTGAGTGTGCTGCTCAGCCTGGCTCTGGAGGACACTGCTGTCTGATGCAGGGACATTGCCAAGTGGGGTTTTGTAGCCACTGAAGCCAGGGCAGCAGGAGCTAATCCAGGAGGGGCTCCATCCATGGGGGCTTGGGCAGCTCATGCTGTGTTTGTGTCTTCTCAGCTCACACTCCACAGTTTGACCTGCTATGAGGAGCTGGTGACTTTTCTTCAACAAAGCATTCATCAGGTATGAACAATGGTTTGTTTTATAGGCCATGCATTACTAGCCTTCTAATTGCATTGTGAAAGAGATGCTAGTGCACTGGAATTGGCCTTTCCCCTTCCCCCAGGAGGAGACAGAGAGGGTGGGAAAGGGCTGGTACTGGCCCCCAGGTGGTGGGCTGAGGACACGAGGGTGATTTTGGCTGGAGAAGAGTGGACTTGGTGGCAAGGAGTCCAGTCTCTGCCGTTGCATCCTTGAGGGCTGGCCGTGGAGACAGGCTCAGGGAGAGCCATAGCTGGGGCTGCAGAAAGCAGAGCTGGGCCGGGTGGGGTTGGAATGAAGGGGAAGCAGCTTGTAGACAGTGGTCACGAGAGCTCTCCGTCCCAGCGGAAGCAGCTGCCTCTGGAAATCATAAACTCTTAGTCAGCAGAGTAGGTCCTAGGCCTGGCGGTGTCAATGGTGGCAGGGTGTGATGAGAAAGTGGCTTCTCAAGCTGGGTTAGAGGGCTTAGCAGTGTCGATGGAGACCCGACCCTGCTTGGCATCCCTGGGGAGGCAGGGCTGGTCTAGGCTGGGACTGGGAGCCCCCAGTCTGCTGGAGGAGAGCTGCGCATCCGCTGCAGGCTGTAGGCCAGGGCCAGGCAGCATCAGAGTCAGAGGGCTCCCGGAGTTCAGGGTAGGGCTGTGGCATCACAGGCTTTGTGGAGAGGGGATTGCACATCCCAGGGGTACAGAACATGGTCTCTGGAGCCAGTCAGCCTGGCCTGGGATCTAGGTTCACCCTTTAGTAGCTCTACGACCTTGGGCTACTTACTTAGTAGCTCTGTACCTCAGTTTCCTCATCTGTGAAATGTGGATAATAATACTGGTGCCTCCCTCAGAGCACTGTGCAGGATGCCTGCAATACTGTGCTTGTTTGGCCTTCTCAGGGATTGCTAGCTCCTGCTGTGGGTGTTAGGCTTGCCGCTGTCATGGTGATTTAAGGGCAGCCTTGAGGTGGGTTAGTGGTAGACACATGGAAATGGGGGGAAAGCCTCATAGTGGGGGGCTGTGCAAAGTGAGCCAAGGCCAGGCGGCCCATGATATGATCTCTGAGATCCCCAACTGCAAGGCCTCACGATTCTAATGTCTGTGTGTCAGGATCAAAGCAAAGAAAGGGCATTTGCTTTCTCTTCTGGGGTGTGGGCAAACCTCTGGGCCTCCCCTTGGCCTTTCCTTCAGGCTTCTGGGTGTGGGATCTGCTCTTTTAGGCCCCAGGGAAGGCACTGGAGGATTTGGTGGTCAACTGGGAGGGTAGGAGAACTTGCTGGATGTGGAACCAGGCCTAAAGCTCCCGCCACCAGAGTACCCTCCCCCGGCACTTTTCCCCAAAGACCCTGAGGGTCTGGCACAGCCCTGGGAAGTGCCCAGGTCCTGACAGCACCAGATGTCCTTTGGGTAGGAAACGGGGCATGCCCTGAGAACAAGGGAGGCAGGTGTGAGGTCAATGTAGGTGCCAATCCTCCTGAAGTCCTTTCATCCCAGGGCTCTTACCTCTCATGAAGACTCAGCCCATGGAGGGCCACAGGGCCAGGCACACAGGCACAGATTAGGATGACTCCCTTTTTGCATGGGTTGCTCTGTCCATCCTGCTGAGGAAGTGAGTGGGAAGGGAGCCCTAGACTGGCTGTCACTTGCTCCCTGTCCCTAGCTCTCTCTGGTTCTTCCTCAGAATAATCCTGCAGGCTGTCTGCTGATGCTATGTGTTCACTGTTTGGCCCAGGGTGGCCAGAAGGCCTGGAACAGGGGCCTGGGGACCTCCTCTGGCTTATTCCTTAGTCACATGTGCCCTTGGGAAAGTCACTGGGCTTCAGTTTTCTCATCCAGAAAATGGAATATATGGCAGTTATCAGATAACTTCCAGCTCTTCACTCTCTAACCGTGGTTCTCAAAGAAGAACCTTAAACATATGGGGAAACATGTTTTCTAAATCAAGTACCAGGCAATCTGAATCAGCAGAAAGCAGACCTACTAGTAAATTCAGAACGTGTGAGAATATGACAGTCCACGTGAGAGACGAGCAGAGTCTGATGGTGCCAGTGTGCAGGGTTTGAGCAGGGTGGCCAGGACTGCGGGCACCTGTGCCACACAGGTGAGCAGAGCGTGAAACCACCATGTCCAGGAAAGGGAAGTAACTGGTGAGTCTGCTAGGAGCCCAAGGAGGGGCCTGAGGGTGATTGCTCGAGTGACCCAAGGTTCTGAGGCTTGTCTCTGCCCACTGATGGCCCTGGGTGGCCCCTCAGCACCAGGCCTCTGTAAGCTTGTCTGTAAGGTGGGGCCTCCCGCTTGGCCTGTACCCCAGGGTTTCAGTGAGGCCTAAGCAAGACAGTGACTGTGAAAGGGGTTCAGAGAGTGGGGTTTGCTCCAGGGGAAGGGGCTGCCTTTTTTCAGTAAGGCCTGTGGACTCAAAGCAATCCCCCTCCTTGCCCGGCTTTGGTCCTTGGTACAGAGGGTCAACATTTGGCCCTCCTCACTCTGGAACGCAGTGTTTTCCCCCGGCAGTTTAATTTGTTTTTGCTGGAAGCAGTTGAGCTGCCTCAGCACTGCCCTCACCAAATTCATTTTTCATGGCCTGGGCCTAAGAGGGGTTCCTTGTGCCAGGCCTGGAAATGCACACTGAACCATCTCTGCCCAAAATAAATAGCCTCCTTGCCGTGTTTTCATTGCCACTCACGCTCTGGGCGAGGTGTCTGGCAGGCCCCTGGCCAGCTCAGGGATACCTCTGCCTCTGCCTGCCATTGGAGTTCCTTGGTGGGCTCAGTTCTCTCAGCGCCTCAGAGCAGCGCTGGAAGAATGGCCGCTTCTTCCTAAGTGGCACCATTTTTCCGGACCCTAACAGTGGTTTCCGGCCCAGTTGCCTTGTCTGAGCTTGCCTTTCAGTGCAGGCACATTGCCCTGTGGTCTCAGTGTCTTGGCAGCTTGAATTTGATGAGATAATTTTAATAAAAGTTTTAAAAAACAAAATGGAATATTGATACAATTCAGTTGTGTTCTGGCTAGAGCAGGAAGCTCCAAGCAGAGTTCACTTCCCCACCCTCTGCAGAGGGGCATGTTCAGGGCTCAGGGCGAGGTCTTCTTGAGGGTGACTGGGGGGCATTCTGGCACAAAGAGTAATAATAGTTAAATTTATAGAGAGCTGGGGCGTGCCATAGGCTTCTGTGTCTATTATGTCACTGCAGTCCGACAAGGAGGTGGGCATTACAAGCATGGCAGAAAGGGAAGCAGACCACAGACCAAGGAAGTACCGTGCTTCCCCATGACAATGTGTAAGTCCATGGCAGAAGTAGGCAGGCATTCCAGAGGGCGAAACTGAGACAAAGAACCCTTTATGACGTCCCCCAGGGAAAATGAAAGTCGTGGCCGAGTAAGTAGGCTTTTTACAGAAGGGAAAACAAGGCAACATGCAATTCTGTAGCAGAGCTGTGATAAAGGGCTGGTGGCCCAAGCCCTCCCAGGCCTGTGCTCCCTGTATGGGGACATCAACATTTGCAATTGTCAGAGCACTTCCACAGACGACGTCTCGTAGAATGTACACCGTATGCCAAGGAAATTGGCCAGATGGGTCCTCGCGGTCCTGGTTTTACAAATGGGGAAGCTGAGGGCAAGAGAAGTGAAGTGACTAGCCTGAGATTGCAGAATTAAGATGAACTTGATTTAAGATTATTATTGATTCGTTCATTCCATTTCTACTTCCACAAAAAGGACTTGAAGTTGCTTGTTAAAAAAAAAAAAAAAGACATCCCTGGGGCTCTTCTCTGCTGCTGCATAGTCAGCTCGTTCTCTCCTGCCTCTGGGCCTTTGCATGTGCTTCTCCTCTTGCCTAGAGCAGTGTTCTCTTCTCTTCTGATTTCTGCTTGTCCCTTAGGTTTCTGTTAGACATCATTTTCTCCAGAAAGCCTTCCTTGGCACTCCCTCCCTCCCTCCCTGCCTCCCCAAGCTCTGAGTCTGTGTTGAAGTCCTCTCCTGTGTGTTTCCAGAGGAGCCTGCATTTCTATCATGGCAGAGCCCCTTCCCCAACCTCTATAAGTTGCTTATTTTTTCTTCCCTGAAGTTACTTCCCCCAAGAGAACAGATCCATGTTCACCTTGTTTACAGTCTTAGTACAGGCTTAGCAGGGAACATCCTCTTGGTACAGAAGTTTCACTCAGTAATTTTTTGTTAATGACTAATTGAATTACTAGATAAAAATAAAGATTATATTTTGAGAAGAAGAAAGCATAATTTTTTATCAAGAGCTTGAGCTGCAATAGTTAACATACTAGAATACCATATGTGGCTCTGAGCTTCCTGGCAGCCAAGGCAAAAATGGAAATATGGTAAGTTATAAAATTCTCAGGAGACATAAGCTTTTTTTCTGGTTTTAAGTTGAAAAAGAAGTTAATTACACACAAGGAACACTGACTATTGTAATAGGCAGCATCTTCAACCACAGTTTATTGTACCCACAGTGGGATGGTGGATGGTAAGGCCTTCACACTGACTTGCAGTTGAGGAATGTTTCTCCAGGGAGCAAAAGTCATTTACCCAGTGGACTGTGGTCTGTTGGGCTCACTGGACAGGTGGGCAGTGCAGAGCCAGCATCATACTAACAGCTAACACAGGTGCCAGGCCCTGTTCTAAGTGCTTTTACAAGGATTAACTCATGTAATGTTCACAACCTAATGATGGTAGATACTATGATTGTTATCCGTGTTTTATAGATGAGAAGACTGAAGACAGAGGAGTTAAGAAATGTCCCCATGTTCCCATAGCTAGGAGTAGGAGAGCCAGGATTTAAACCCAGGCAGCCAGGCCCCACCCAGGACATGGGTTCCAGACCAGGGTTAGGACCAAGGGGAGAAGAGTAAGGCACTCACTTTGGGTGCAGAATTTAAGGAGGTGCCAAAAAACTCAAATCAGCATAAATGACATTTAAAAAAAATCAAAATAAAAAAATCCATAATGAAAAAAAATATCAAAACTTTAAAAAATGATATGTACTTGCACGGCCCACTTGCCTTGCCTCACCCTGACCTCGGCTGTGCTCCAAACCTGCTCTCTGCTGCTCTCAGCATAGCGTGGCTCTTCAGAGTAAGGGATCAGAAATTACATGGAGCCCCCTGGAACCCCACTGTGCTGCCTACAAGCTGTGACCTCTGGCAGGCCACTCAGCGTCTGAGCGTCAGTCCGTTACAGAGTAGAGGGCAGGAATAACAGCACTTCCCCCAGGTCTGGTGCAGTATTCAGTGTGATAATGCCCAGGACACATTGGCACATATGGGTCCTGCCATGACCGCTGCCGTCTCTTGAGCTTCAAGGACTCAGGTGGTGATGTGTTCCGTGGTGACCCCTGCATCACCAGCACTAGCCCCATCATCACTCAGGCTGGCACACCCCCATCCTTTAGGGGGTCTGCCCTGAGGCACCTGGCAGCCTCCAGGGCCAGGCTGGAGGCAGAGGCTCAGGGCAGGCTGCTACCTGGGGTGCAGCCACCACAGTGGTGTCGGGGCTGAGAGGAGGGAGGTGCAGACTGGACGGAGCTCATTCCTCTTTCCCCTTCCCAGTTCGAAGTGGGCCCCTACGGATGCATCCTGCTCACTCTGTCTGCCATCCTGTCCAGGTCCGTGGAGCTGTGAGTATCTTCCTCCCTCAACTTCCCCAGGGCCAGGCTGGTCTGTCTTGTTCACTGCGACCTCCCCAGAGCCCAGGGCAGTGCTTGGCACATGGCAGGTGCTCAGTGAATGTTGTGGAAAGGATGAATGAAGCAGCAGAGTAGAGCAAATGAAAGTTGGCTGGTGGAGGAGAGAGAGAAGTCACATTCTATATATATACCTGTCCAGGGCTACTTTCCCTGTGATCTCTCTGTGTGTGCGGGGGACAACCTGAGAGGCACCCTCAAAGAGCTTGCATGGGACTCAGTATGTGCATACTGAAGCATTCCTGGAGACTCCCCTGGTGCATGTGTAGGGGACAGACAATTGAGGCTGAGACCCAGGAGATGACCAAGGGCTCAGGGCGGGGAGGACTTGCCGTAGACCGAGGCAGTCCTGCAGCTGCAAGGATGGGGCTGGCATTCAGGGCCTGCTCTGGAGAGGTGAGTCGGCAGGTGCCCAGGAGGCCTTGCAGGCAGGAGAGGTGGCAAGGCTGCTTGTCCTTATCTCCTCTGCTGCACCCCTGTGGGCAGGGTCCTGGCTTTGACCCTGCACCTCCTGTTCAAATGTGGTCCCCTAGGCCACCCTAGAGCTGGAGTTCCTCCATAAATCTCATTCCCTGGGAGCTTTTTAGGCCTCTTGTCTATATCTGTCACCTGGGCATTATGTCACCAGGGAGCATAACAGATGAATAAAGCATGAATAGTTGAGGAAAGTACAATTGATTGTCCCGTTCATGTCCAAGCAGAGGATAGAGCCCTGAGGGCATGGAGTAGGGTGAGGGGAGGAGTGCATCTCACTTTGGAGGTGCTTGGTGGGGAAGATTTGGGAACAACTTTCAGTATATGGTTCCTAGAAAAGGGAGACAGAATGAGTAGCTTTGTGGTGCCTAGGCGGGGGAGGCCCCAGCAGAAGGAGATGTTTACTCCCCCACCCCGGCCCGCCGCATCCCTGTTTCCAGGGGCCTGTGCTGTGGGTGGGAGGACAGCGGGGTATCTGCCGCCTCGTGCGCTGGCCTGCCTGCTGCTTGCTGCTACTGACCTTATTAAATGTGTGCGTGTACACAGTGCTTTCTAATGGCATTTTTCTTCTAATCCTGCCATAATGATATGATTTATTCCTGGCATGGGCTCACGTGCACGAAGACCATAAGCTGCACTGCCTTCTCCCAGGCCTGTGTTTGCTAGTCCTCAGACTGACAGGGTTGGGTGGTGTTCTCCGGGTCTCACTGAGGGGAAGCTGTGCTCTCAGGAGGGCCAGGAGTGGTGATGCCTGCCTCAGCTTCCCTTTCTATACAGGGGCCCTCCGGCTCTGGGGGCCTAGGACTCTGCTCAAGTATGTCTGCTCCAGTGGTCACTAGGGCAGCCTGGGAGCAGAGCACCCTGTTACACGCATGCTCCTGTGTGTAGCCCTCTCCCTCGGAAAGGAGGGCCTTTAGGGCCCCATGTCTGGGCCACTCTTCATGTCATACAGAGCTGGAGGACTAGGGCTGCTTCTGCTCCCCCACCCGCCCTAGCCAGCCAAGCCTGGCACCCGTGGGGCACTGGTGTGGGGAAGGCTGCCCCTCCGGATCTGTGCAGCCTCATGCTGATGGGCCTGAAGTCCCGGCCCTGCCAACACATGTGCACACACACATACACGGTTATGCACAGATACATACATAGACATACAGATATACATGGCCACATACACAGATGCACACACACGGACACATACATATACACAGACAGACACACATAGTCCAGCTGTTCCTCCAGAGCACCTGAGGCCCTTCCCTGGGTCCTGTAGGCAGAAGGTCTTGAGGACCCTGGGGCAGCTTGGAACAGCCTGGCCTCTACTTCCCAGAGGACCCGAATAGGGACCCGTGTGGTGTTGGAGACGGGCTGGCAGGGCATGAGTCAGGCTTTGTCCTACCGCTGTGGTCTCCCCTTTCCCTCTCCTAAGAAGACAATGGAGAGGAAATTCTCATAGGCCGTAGGAATGATAGCAGCCAGCATTTGTGATGCTTCCTTTATGCCCAAGCCTTCGCCTTAACATTTCACCCATGGAGCTCGCCGAGTCTCCACGGCAACCCTACTAGGCGGGTGCCGTTATGATCACTATTACCATCCCCGCTCTTCCCATGAGGAATCAAGGCTTGGGGGAGTGAGTAGTTTGCCCCAAGGTTATATAGCAGGTAAAACTGGTACCCCAGGCTCCACTCAGGCTCTCTGGCCCCAGAGCTGGCTCTTTTGGTTTGCTGTTTAAAAACTCGAACTTGTGAATAAGACAGACTTGGTTTTAGTTCTGACTGTATTCCTAAGCTGGAGTTTCCGCCTCTGTAAAATGGGAGTGATAATTCCCAACTCACAAGATGTAGCTGTGCTTAGTGCAGCTCCTGACAGGTGCAATCCTTGAATAGTGGCTGCTGCTAGTCCTAGCCCATTCCAGCCGTGCTCAGGTGCCTCTGTGCCCCTTCCTGCCTTTTCTTGCCCTCAGTCCTCGCTTGGTGCCCGGTGGTGGAGGCCATGTTGCCACCTCAGTAGACACAACCACAGGGATGTCCCTCGATTCCCAATGGGGCTTCTGTGGCGACATCCACCCTTGGCAGATGCTTCCTGACAGCCAGCGAGCTCCCTGAGCATGGAGTGCCGCTGCTGGGTGGGCCATGAGAAGGGCGGATGGGGCTCCACCCCCACCCCACCTGGGCGCCTGTAGTGCAGAGGTGTACGTGATTAGACACCCAACTCTCCAATTGGATCGAGTCTAAGAAAACTTGGTTCGACTGAGGGCTTCGGGTGAGGCACGGGGCAGGCCTCCTGGGGCCCCTCCCAGTGCATACTCCCTCCTGATTGCTGCTGTCCCACGGGGGCTGCGGAGATGTGGACATCTGAGTAGAGCTGATTCCTCCTCCCCTGAGGAGGAAAGACAGGAATGACAGGATGGGAATAGCCTGGGCAGTCGTGGTGCTGCCCAGATCCTGTGAGGCAGTCACACTGAAATTAATGCAAATACCACGTTGGCATCCCTGGCATTTGCGGGGGCTCCAGTGAAGAAGATGTCCTCTTGCCTTCCGAAGGGGATCCCCTGGAACCGCACAGTCCCCTCCGGTGTCAGTCACACTGCACTCAGTGGTGCTCCCCTCACCCCCAGCACCTCTGACTTCTGCTCTCTGGAGGGATGCCAGGCTCAGCTGAGGTTTGCTGTGATTCGCTGGGCAGTGATAACAGCCCTGGGACTGGGAAACCCACCTCCGCCTGCTTTCTCAGGGTTAGCAGCTGGAAAGGCCTTTATGGACATTTGGACATGCAGGTGCAAGTGTCACCCAGCTCAGGCACCATTAGGCCTGTCCAGGGAAGCCTAGTGGGGTGGCAAGTCTCAGGAAAGCATGTACTTATTGGCCACAACATAGCATCAGGAGACCTGGGTCCCGAACTCAGCTCAGCTGCCCGTAAGCTGTGTGGCTGACCCAACCTGTGCCGTAGGTTCTTTATCTAACAGAGGGGCTTGGGCCAGTGCTTTTTAAATTCTTTTTTGTAGGAAATGAAATCTGATTTTTTTTTTCCCCAAAGAAACTTTATTCCAAAGTTCACTGTGTAAAATAAAGCAGATGTAGCAGACCGACTTTGACTGGAGCAGCAGAGGTGGGAAGGGGGGACCCCTACTGCCCCTCCCCTGCCTCCCAATCTGGCACCCACACCTGCTCCCCAGCTATGGCCCCTGAGACCCCTCTTTGGAGCAGCCCCAGCTCTGCAAACACAGCTTGAAAACCTCAGCACCAGACGATCGCCAAGGGCCTTCCTGCTCTGGGGTTCAGATTCAGTTTTGCCAAAGAATCCTTTGATGCTGTTTCAGGGCGATCTGTTACTACTTTGGGCAGTTGAAAACATGTCCTGGTAGCCCGAAGATATAACAGAGTCTCTAAGATCAAATGTTCAGCTGGAGAGAAGCGGAGTCATGGGCTGGGAAAACCCACCCCAGTTCTTTACAACCACAGCGTGTGTACGTGTGCATTTGTGGTGGTATCGCAGTGGCATGTGTGTGGATGGGAGAGATCGGTGAGACTGTGTGGCTGGGTGCAAGGTGATGTGGGTGTTGGTGGTTGTGTTTGAGATTGTGCGAAGGATGACTTGTGTATGTGGGCGTGATGGTGACATGTGATAGGGCATGGTGGTCCCTGCTGGCAAGGGCTTTCTGACTCATGCCTGGGCATTGGAGGGCTTTCTCCTGCTGCCCAGAAGCTGCCCTCACACCAAAGTCAATGCCTTCTGTCTGTTGGCTCCTCCTACCCAGAGCAGAGGTAGGGTGGGGACGCCATGGACAGATGAAAACCCAGCTGGGTGCAGCTGACCACTGCCTGGCCACTTCACCCTCAGAGGCCCCAAGACCATCAAGAAACAGGCCTTTGAGGTTTGTTTACCCCAGGCTGTGTGCAAAGCCTTGTGAAGGTTTTATTTTTTCCCACTTGATTTCAAGCCGTTTATTTTCTTTTCTAAGATCTTGAGTTGCTTACAGTAAATCTCATGCAGCATTTCATGCTCGCCTAGCTCTGCTTCCCAAACCACATGGCTAGAACTTTCCCCAGGGAGCTCTCACAAGCCCCAAGGATGCTCAGGGTCCTGGGGTTGGGCCTACCGGTGAGCCAGGCCTGGGCAATACAGTGCACGGGCTGCTCCTGCCCCTTGGTGGAGCACAGGCTTGGCTGATGTGGTGGGAGAGACAGCTTGCAGAGGAAACCTCATGCAGTAGACCCTTGGCCTTTATCACAGCAACTTCAACTGCCCAAAGGCCATCTTGAAAATCCAGAAGAGGGAGTAGTTTGTCATTCACTGGAGTAATGTTTGAATGGCACAAGCCAGGTCCTGAGAAGAAGGGGATGACACTGGGCAGGATCCACCGTGGTGACTCTGTTGTTCTTTGTAACTCTCCCCAAGAGATTAAAAGCAATAGCAACAACAAAACAGTTTCTTTCTTTGTGAAAATAGCCCTGATACTAAAGCCT